TATTGTGTTTGAGATGCTGATTGGCTGATTTTGTTTTCTTTCTCTCCTCTACTTTCAGTTTTTGAAGCTAAGATGGACTGATATGAAAGTTGTATAACTCTATAATGTTTAAGCAAAAAGGAAGTGTAGTATATGATAGTAAAATGGTGTCCATAGAATTGTTTCCATAGTGTGACATGCTTTCCCTTTTCATTTTTAGACAAAGCAAACTAATCACTTAAGATGCAAAATCCAAAGTCGAATCTTAATAACATTATATTTACTTAATATTGGTCAGAACATAAAATCATATAAAGACAAGCTTTCAATGCAAAACTATAAGCTCTATTTTACTAATCTAAGCAAATGGCGCAATTGCATTTACTTTTTAAACATGGGCGCAGGATGGGAAAACGACAACCAGCAAGGTCATTTCTGTTTCGCCCGGGCCTTTAGACAAGGCCCTATTTGTTTGATTGGTTATTTGGTCGATCTGGTCACAGAAGAGCAACATGTGTCCATCTGAGGCCTGAGCTTGGTGCCTCTCTCTTCATTCTCTCCATCACAGGTCTGTGGTGCTGAAAGCAGGGTTATTAAAACCCACATGAGGTTTGTCTCTCTTCTGTCCCCGCTGGGCCAGCGCTGCACCCAGAGGCTCAATGTACTCTGGTGGTCCACTGTCCTCCTCCTCCTCCTCTTCCTCCTGGATCATCAGCTGATGAGGAAAGAATTAATATTATTAGTAAAAAAAATTCAAATAAAAGGTTAAAAAATGAGGTGGATTAAAAAATGTAATCTCACCATGTTTGTTTTTATATCCTTTCCGTGAATGTCCATGTCATCATTGTAGTCGAGGGAATTGAGACTTTTGTGAAAAAAGAAATAATCAAATTAATCCTAGAACTCACAGTCAGTATTCTCCTAAAGACAATGTTTCCTTTTTCAAATCATTGTAGAGGTGTTTGGTTTAGCTGCAGGTCACATGACACTGTTGGAGCAGGAACCAGCTCTGTGTCACAACATGCTGCCGTGAGCAGGCTGTGACAAAATGTTGACCTGGAAACCGTCCCAGTAGCTAACCAGAGCAGAGAGAGAGAGGCTGCGTGTCACTGTGAGCCACCGCCTCGTCAAACTGTGGTCACCACGCAAATAACCGCCATCAGCAGATGATGGTGATAAGCACGACAGTCAGGAGGGTCGTCTTTACCTGACTTTGTCCACATCTGAGCTCGCCTCGTCCAAGTCCAGGACCATGGTGAGGTTGAGAACAGGATTGGCTCTGTCAGGGAATAATCGATCAATCAAATAGATTTGTAGAGGGATTTTTGTACAGGATCTGAGGTAACTCATATGTTTTAATCAAAAAGATTGATGACAAAAAGAGTAAAACATCTGCCATATTTCCTATTGATCATTGTTGTCAATTGTTCATATTCCTTTATTATTGAGGTGCTGTTGTCTCCTTACCCCTCCATGGTGTACTTGTTGGTTCCAGGCACCACAGCGCCACCCTTCTGGTTGTCAGACGCCACCATGGACGCGGACTTCATAGCTTTAGCGGCCTTCAGCTTCCTCCTATACCTGTAAGAAGCAAGTGGATACATACATTGACACCAAAACTCTCACAATACTTTTAAAAACTATAGGACATGGGTCTTTGCCAGAACAGACAGTATTTTTTTGTCCTGTCTCTAACTTTATTCCCCTATTTCTTACTTTCTCCGAGTGCACATGAGAGAGGTGGTGAGGACTGCCAGCAGGATGATGAGGCCTCCCACCATCCCCAGCAGGATGTACTTCACAGGATCTACGTCTGGTTCGATCACAGGAGCCTGCCCCTGAAACACAAGGAAGAAATCTGTCTTTATTATGTTGTTGTCTGTAGACCTATGAGGCTTCAATTAGACCTGCATAATCATATAATCAAATAAAAACATT